CCTAAAGCAAGACACAGAGAAAGAGAGAAGAGGGAAAGAGGAGAGGAGAAGAGAGGAGGGGGGGAGAGAGAGAGAGAGAGAGAGAGAGAGAGAGAGAGAGAGAGAAAGAAAGANAGAAAGAAAGAAAGAAAGAAAGAAAGAAAGAAAGAAAGAAAGAAAGAAAGAAAGAAAGAAAGAAAGAAAGAAAGAAAGAAAGAAAGAAAGAAAGAGGCAACAAAGGGAGTGCGGAGGAGGGATAGGGTGCAGGGCTCAAGGAGAGCGGGATTGTCGATGTCCCGGCCCACGCTGCGCGTGAAGGACCCCGGTTCCCGCAAAGACAAAAGCGCGGCTGCGCAAACCGGAGCGGTGAACGGCGGGGAGATCGCGATTATTTTTGAATCGATTTTATCGAGTGGAGGAGGCGGGGGAGCAGAGAGGGCTCCGAGTGTGCAAGGGAGTGGGGCCGGGGGTAGAATTAAAAGGGGKCTCTGCGAGAAAGTACCTTAATGGGGGATCACACAGACGGGGAATTCACAGGGGTTGGGTGGACATTTCGCTCCAGAAAATGCAACTTGCGCTTGGTAGCAAACACATTTTTTCCTTAGCAATAAAACGAAATGTCCCTATGAATGCGGAGGGTTATTAAAAAAAAAAAAAAAAAAATAGCCCGACCTCAAACGACAACCGAACACACCCCTGCTCTCCACCTCCGAGGGCACTTTGGGTTTGTTTCATGCAAAACAAGCACCAAATTCGTTTTTTAAAACAACTCCTAGTTCAAAGGGTCGGAAATGCGGCCATAAACCGCAGCTTCACCCTCCGAGGTGCCGTGATCAAAGCTGGTTTCTTTCTAAAGATAAAATGAACGTTTATACAGTGAGAAAGCGAGATTGATTTACGGATTGAAACCCGCCGTTCTTATTGCGGATCGTAAATCTGCCAGGAGCCGCGAAACTCCCAGGGCGCCGCTCGCAGAGGCGCCTTGAGCGGCGAGCCGGCCCTAGAGCCGAAACCGCCGCCRCGCACATATAGAGCCTATATAGGCACCTACATAGAGGTGATTTTTTTTCTGTTCTCACATAAACAACCGTCCGTGGAGGCTGCGCTTTCATTAGCGCACAGGAGCCGCTTTTGTCCGTTTGGGAAGCGAGAGGACACAAAGGGGGTCCGGATGGGGGGCTTGGCTGCAGGGATCGCCTAGGATGGGGCTGGTCTTGGTGGGGACCAGCGGTCCGGCGGTGCCCGAGGGCCTCGGCCGCGCAGCCCCGCGCGGCGCCGGCCCCGCCAGAGCGGCCTTTGAGCGCGCCCTGCGCAGGGGTGAAGCGGGAGGAGTGCGGGGGATGGAGGTGGGAGGAGGGGAAAGGGACACCGGCAGACAAAGGAATATCTGAAAATGCGACGGGAGACGGAGCAGGGGACGGGGCTGCTGTTGCTCACGGCATTATTTAGTTTGCTCGGGGTATTATTATTATTATTACTATTACTATTACTATTACTATTACTATTACTATTACTATTACTATTACTATTACTATTACTATTACTATTACTATTACTATTACTATTTTATTATATTTATTGTAAGGCAAAGTGCGGATCAGAGGCCGCCCCACACAGACCAACCGCAGGCTCTGCCCTCCAACAACTCCTTCGTCTCGTTCCTCTCTTTTCCTCATGAAAGCCCGAGCAAACAGAGCGAAGTAGGGAAATAAAAGAGGAGACTGAGCAGAGTGGGGAAGAATTCCAAGCAGAAATATCCTAACTCCATCCATTCGCTCCCTGCACCGTGTTCTCCCCTCGCGTATTCCCCTCTCACATGGTCAAAAATATCAAAAAAGGAAGAAGAGACGAAGCGAAAGGCGCGCGGCCAGGCCGAGGCGTGAGCCAGGCTCCCGCACACGCGGAGTTTCGCCGCCCTCGGGCCCCGCGCTGCCCAGCACAATGTCCAGCCTCGCAGAGGTCAAGGGGTTTGAAAGGTCAGTTCGGGGCTCTAATGCCCAGCTAATCGCCTAGAAAACGTGTCCTCTGCGTGAACTCTATCCTTCCATCAGGGCCAGCAAGCTCTGAATTTTACATCCTCAAAATCTCCCCCCTCTGCTCCACGCACACAAGACACGAGAGGCCCAGGCCGCACCCGCGCACCGTAAAGGGACCCTGGGAACCTTTAATGCCCCCCATCCCCGAGACGCCACTCCAGGGGTGTCCTAGCTCGGGACACCTCAGGACATCCGACTCCCCCGCGAGGAGAAGAGATCCCCGCTCGCTGCAGAGGCCCGAGCCCTTCGGGACTCTCCCCAGACCCATCCCGTCCAGGGAGACACGGGCGAGTAGTGCCTGATTGTACAAAATAACAAATCAGAATAAGAACTGAAAGGGCTCCAAGCCCCGCCGAAAGGAGCGAGCAGCACCAAAGCAGCCGCAAACTCAAAGCCCGCAGTCTCCCGCAACCCGACTGCAAAGTTTCTGTACTCGCTCCCCTCGCTCACATCGGGCAGCATAAAATGAGAAAAGAGAAGGAAAAACCCGCATAAGAATTCACATATTGTTTTCTTTCTTTCTTTCTTTTTCTTTTTTCCTTCCTTCTTTTTTTTTTTTTCCTGAGATTTCTCGTGAAAGGAGACAATAACACGATCAGAAATGCATGCCAAGAGACCAGCGCTGTTACCTGCATCGCTCCCACATCCTTTTTCCACGGCCCTCATGTCTGGGCTGATTTCTTCCAAAGTGAGAGGTCTGGGGGAGGGGGCGGCTTGGGGGCTTTTGCTTTTTTCTCCCCCCAAAATAAAACATTCACCTTTACGGTCCAGATTTTATTATTAATATTATTACTTCCCCTGAAGATTCTGGTAAGGCTCCGGGCGCTTTTTTTCCCAACAGACGGTCTGCGGAGATTTGCTGTTGAATAACAATGGGAAAAGGATAAGTATTTAAAGAAAAGAAGTGATTAATGATTTTCTGTATAATTCTCGCATTTTTCTTGGCTTCTGTCTCCTTATAATGGCTGTGAACTTAGGTTCTATAGAAATCTTCTTTTCTCGCCCTTCTATCCTATTCATACTTTCCAAGCTTTGATTTGCTTCTATAGAACCTGCATTCCTAGAAGCATATGCTTTTTTAAGAACTATTTTTGTCATTCTTAGAAGCACTATCTTGAAAATAACACCCTCGTTGCACTCTCAGCAGATCAAAGGGTAAACAGTAAAATAAAATGCAACAACAACAGAACCACCCCTTCCTCAGGCATTACAATAAAATACAGCCTTTGCCACCCTCTCTGGGAAAGGAAATACAAAAACAACAACAACAAAGAAATTTTAAAAGTCTCTAGTTGTTGCCTCTAAAATTGAGCTAGTGAGCCCAAAATGCTCTCATAAATCCTCTTCTCCATCAGAAACATGTATCAAATCTGTATCGTGTGACTACATTAATATCATTTAAAATTATTAAAATGCCCATAGAAAGAAAACTATAACGGCCTTTTGTTTGGGCTGGGGGAAGGGCCACATCTGAAGACACTTTATTTGCAAGGTGGTCGCGCAGTGACTTAGTACAAATAAAGCCCTGGCAATAAACACAGTCCGGCCTCAAATGTCCCAAGCGATGCCTTTGTCTCTGGGATATCKCGCGGCTTATGGGGGGTCTCCGAGAAGCCCGTAAACACTGAACAAATAAGCAAAAGCCATTTTCGTTGGAGGCAAGTATAAGAAAATGATTATTTTCCTCACATGGGGAGAGGGGGAGGCCTCGCCCCCGCCTCCCACCCACGCACAATAGGCTTTTTCTTATATTTGTAACTTAGAACCGCAGTGTTATTTCGTCCAGAGTAGTATTTTTGATACTTTCTATGAGAAAGAAAATGAAAATTAATACAAGAGCTGCGGCTCACAAAAGAAGCCATTTGTCTTCTTGATTATCTATTTGCTTGTCAGGCTATGAGCTATCGCAGGAGCCAGCTCCTTTGTAATATAAAAATATACAGAAAACCTGCAAACACCGAGAAACATCTGTGCAAAAATTAGACTCATTAATGTATTAACTACCTTGGAGAAGGAGGTATTTTCTTTCAAATCAAGAAATTTCTCTAGAGAAATACAGCGCTCCATCCATTCTTTACAGCCAAGCCCAGCACTAATGACTACCTCTGTTTTGTCTGAAACCAGTTTGGGAAGAGCATATTAATATAAGCTTAGAACAAATAAATCATAATATGTAAGGCTTAGCAGTACTTAATGCTGATATACCCCATAGTCAAACATCTTTTGTTTTCATTAGGGAGTTGAGGCTGTGCTATTGACAATAGAAACCCCAGCTCAAAAGCGACGTGCTTTTTAATTAAAATTTTGCAAAATCTATTTCCCGCCCCCTTCACCTCCCCCCCCCTCTCGAAGAGCAGCAACAGCACGAAATCACACGGGGTCATCTTCACAATGAAACATTTATTTCCACTCGCGTTTTTTTCTTTTTTTTCTTTTTTTTTTTTTTCCCTGCTGTTTACACGGGGTGGCGGACGCGGCGAAGGACAAAAGGCAGCGGTGGCTCCGTGCCCGCAGCCCGAGCGCGGCGACACCTCGGCCGCCCTGGGCCGTCCCACCCGGGGCCCCCGTACCCCTCGCCTCCATTTCCCGGCCCGGGAAATTGCAGGTAGCACCGCCGGGTTTCTAACCTAAACCTCTTTCCCCCCCTCCTTCCCTCCCACCCTCCTCCCCACACTCAGAAGTGAAGCAGTTAACCCGCTGGACTCCAAAATGGCAGGGGGGCTCCTACATAAGGCTCCGCTCTCTCACTTTCTTTGCCCGCCACCCACTGAACACAATTTCACTTTGTTTTCGTGGTTCCCCCTCTGCCCCTGGGCAGCACCGCGGATTTTTGGCCGGTTTGWTGGTTTTCACCACCACGGGACTGTACTAGAACCGCTGAGTCTTTGGGGTGTCTGAATAAAAACTTTCGTTTTGTGGCTGGTAGGCGAGAGAAAAGGAAAAAAAAATAGAGGAAAAATATGGAGAGGGGGTCCAGTTCGTCTTGAAGAAACTGAGCCTCATTTATTAAAGTGAACGCTAGTTGTCGAGGTAATAGCAGACATAAGGTCCATCCTTTGTACGGGAGAGTAAACATGACAAATGGGGCAGAGCTTGGCGTGATTAAAGATGAAACAAGGATCCATCTTAGCCAAATCTGAAAACTACTCTCTACAGCCTCCTCTTAATGGAAGAGAGGCACAACAGCAGGGCCCGGCTTTGTTGGAGCCGAGCCTGCCTCTGTCCTTCCTATAAATATAGAGCACCCCTCCTTCCCTGGCTGTTAGAACAAAAAATATCCTGCGTTCGCTACACACACCCCCAAACTCGTACCCACAGMCACGCTCTCATCCACACACGGAATAGTTATAGGCTGCTGGCTGGTCCATTGGATCGGCTTTGAGAAGCTCCTTGCTGTAGCTGCAGGCTGCCCGAGGAGCTGGAGGAATTAGATCTGATCTTGGTATTTGGTAACTTGTGATCTTTTTTCCATTTCATGCGCCGGTTCTGGAACCAGATCTTGATCTGACGCTCGGAGAGGCAGAGGCTGTGCGCGATCTCGACCCTGCGCCTCCGCGTGAGATAGCGGTTGTAGTGAAACTCCTTCTCCAGCTCCAGGACCTGCTGGCGGGTGTACGCGGTGCGCGAGCGCTTGGGCTCCCCGCCGGAGTAATTGGGGTTTACTGAGCACACACAAAGGAGGGAGAAAGAAGAGAAGAAGAAGAATTACTGAGTTGTTCCTCCCCCCACCCCTGCCAAAAAGCATCASGCATTCTTTGGGGTTGGGGAGAATACTCAAAAAATACACCGCAAACCTTCTAAAAATATACCCAGAGCCTATCTCCAAATCTCCACCTCCATCCTCGTTGCCTGACGTATATTCCTGTTTTTATAAGGTCCCCTAGACACATTCTCCATGCCCTCTGCGAGAATGTGCCTACATGTGTGTGCATATATGTGTGTGTATATATATATAAACACACATCCTTACGTGAGCATCACTCTACTATACCGAAAGCTTTAAAGTTCCCCCTACACACATACGCGCAGATAAACACAGGGTTTTTTTTTCACTAAATATCACACTAACAGAATAAAAAAGAAAAAAAAAAGAAAAAAAAAAAGAAGGGGGAGGGAAAATAGTAAAAGTTTACTCAACCCGCCACTTAAATACAAATTACGAAAACATAAAACTTAACTTATGAAGATTCAACAGCCATAAAAAAGTAGCCTGCAAGAAATTGGAGGAGGATGGTAACAGAGACTTCAAAGGCACATGGCCAAGCAGAGCAATAAAAATTTATGGAGGATGTAATTATACCGCTCTGCAAACAGGCGCTCGTAAATCTCCGCGAATGGTTATTTTACAACTGGTGCAATAAGATTTCTACAAGACTTTGAGGTGCTACTTAGTATAAAGCAAAGCCTCTTTAGTTCACTTACCCGTGCTTACATGGACTTTTTTCATCCAGGGATAAACTACCGGCTCTTTGCACGAGGACCTGGCCGGGCTTTGGTTCAGAGAGTTTTGGCTGCAGGAGGGCGGCGGGCTTGGGGTGCCCGGCTCGCAGGGCTGATTTGGCTCAGAGAGGTGGCTCTGCAGTCCGGCCGGAGGATGGACATGACCCCGGGGGGATAAGACCGCTGCTTGGTGGCCGGAGCTCGGACAGGACGAGTAGAGCTGCTCGTTGCACGCTGACCGCGGCTCGTACATCGCTTCATGTTGGAAAGTGCCCTCTCGCCTCTGGCTGCTGTAATATTCCGGCGAGTGATTGGGAAGGTAATCGCTGTGGGAATACTCTTCACAGGGTGGGAACTTGGGGTCCACATAGTTGGAGTTGATCAAAAACGAACTCATGGCCATTAATTTCTTAGAATTGCACACACGAAAAAAAAAATATATATCCTAAAATTTATTCCTGTCCCCCCCTTTACTCGTTTTCCTGTTTCGTGAAACCCTCCTACTTACTGTCAAGTGAACAAAGTTGGAGTCCATGTGACAGCACGGGCCAATGGCGAGGTGGCCTGCGATCCCCGGATAAGGAAATCTGCCCGGCACGGGCTCTCCCGGGGCCCCGAGCATCCCCGGGGAGGCGGCCGGGGGCTCCCGCTCCCCTCCGGCCGCCCCCGGCCGCGCCGCCGCCCGACCCCGCCGGCCCCCTCCGGGCCCGGGCTCCGCAGCGCCCCGCGGGCTCGGAGTGACCCCCCCCGGCCCTCCCCCCTCGGGGGTGTGTCCTGAATGGCGCGGGGGGGGGAACAGGAGAAAAAATAATAAAAAAAGACCAAAAATACATTTTTTTTTAAAGGCTGCGGATCAGACTCGCTGCCCCCGTATATGGTGGCGGCGTCTCAGTAGGGTGATACAAGCGGGGACACTGCGCCCCGAGCCTGGCAGAGATGAATAGGGCTTGTTCGGGATCGATAGGAAATTCAGCAGCTAATTCGGGGTGCCCGCTCTCCTAAATCCCATTTAGCTGCGGCTTTAGTTGAACTCATTCCCACGCACAGAGGGGAAGGAAGCATGTTCTCTGAGCGAGGAATCAAGGGCTTTAAAAGCCACAGAAAAAGGGCACCCTTTACAAAAGCACCCTGAAATGCTCCGATTTGCGCTAAATTCCGAAAGGCGCGAAAATCCGTCCCCAGCCCCGCTTCTGCTCGGTGTCACCGCCGCCGTGGTACAAACCGCAGCCRTGGGGGACCCTCGTCCCTCCGCGCAGCGCCGCTGCCCGCCCCTCGTCTGAGCAGCTCTGATTTTACCTCCAAATCATGATAAAGTTTATCGCGGGAGAGCTCGAGTTGGGTTAAGGTCAAATCCAAAGATTTGTTTTCAGCTGCAAAGCGATTTTCTGTTTAAGACCTTTTTTTCACCCTTTCATTTAGGGATTTGGATTTTTTTTTCTTTGAATTTGATTTTTTTTTTTTTTTTGAGGAGGAGGAGAGTGGGGTTGGTTTTGCCTTCTGGGATTGTGACCTGTAGTGTTTGTGTCAACTACATATTCCCCTAGATACGAATTTGTGACCCAACTTCCTTTACACAAATTCGGATCTACAGGGTACATATAGAAGACAGATGCATCCTCCTTGGTCAGAGATCTTCTCCTACTGCCAAAATTATCTTCCAGGTAGAGGGGATGGGGAAGTGTTAAGTTTGTAACTAGACAGATCGAGAATTAATCTATAGATAAAGAGAATTAAAAGATTTTCAGAAGAAATACGATTAAAATATMCGCTCAAAAATCCGAATAATTGATCATTGTAATTAGAAAAATATACAGTCCTTTTCTACCTTTGTAGAAATCCGTTAGTACCTTTGTACTAATCCATTAGATTAGTACTATTATAAAAAAAAATAGTCTCCTGGACTGAATATGTTAGTATAGAAATAGACAGGGAGAACAGAACCCGAATAATGGTGCTTTAAAAGTAAAATGCGACCTTGTGCCTGCCTCAGTCATGATACTCTCCTAATTATTCTCGTATGGAGAAAGATTTCATCCATTTTTCGTTCTTGGAGGTCAACCAAGGTTTTAGTTTATACGTGCGTGTGCGGGTAAATTTTATATATATATATATATATATATATATACACACACACACACACACACATAAAGGAAGAAAGAAACAAATGAAAAGAAATGCAAAATGTAAAGGCAGATGGGAAGGCAGGTTTTTTTTTTTTTTTTTTTTTTTTWTGACAGGCAATTCTTTTTACAACCCGAGAAAAAGATCAAAGGCATTTCATTTCCGAAAAAAGGGATATAAAACAATAAAATATTCATACTGTCTAGGTAATGAACCTTCATTCGGAACTAATGAGGGTAGCATCATGTTGAGATTTCGTTTAAAATTACAGTTGCCCAAGAGATTAAAAGTAGAACATCCTCTTGTAATTTTGGTTTTGTGTATTTCAAAAGAGACAACATATTTTTGGTCAACTATTTCCCGAATTAATCGTTATTTCAAAGCCACAACAGATAGACAACCAGAAAAAAAAAGAAAAAAAAGGAAGCAAGGAACGCTGGTAGTAAAAATGAGAGTACAAACCCTTTCCCCCTACCCTTACGATAAATATCTTAAAGAAGTATTTCTAAAACGTCTGTTATTTTCGTATTAGAGGAGGAAAAATAGATACAGCCATGACCGAATGACTGAATGTCCCAGAATGTCCCAGAGCACTTGGCCAGTGACGCGCTGTGCCCTGAGAATTTTTTATTTACCCATTTATTTATTTATTTATTTATCTGTTTATTTATTTAATTATTTATTTTAAGAAACTTTGCAGCGATCTGCCGCTTTTCCTCATAAAAGCGCCTGCTCTCCGACTGAGCATATAAACGGCCACGCACTTTCCGCAGTAAGGGCAAGGCGACCGCGGGCCGCCCCGCGCACCCTCCGCGCGCGCACGGGCAGGTTTGGGGCACGGGGCCGCAGCTACTCCGCTGGGGAGCAGGCAGCGAAGCTCCAGTCTCCCTTCCCTGTAAAATTTGCCATAAAAGTAGGAAGTCAAATCAAATCTGCTTGTACAAAGTGTCGATGGAGGCCATAAAATAATTCTATAGAACCGATCTCATTAGAGACCTTTTTTCTCTCTCTCTCTCTTAAATTTTATTCCCCCCTTCCAGTTCCATTCTGATTTATTTTATTGTATTTCCTTTCAGTTCTCACCGTAGAGACCTCCTAAGCTAAGCGGGTGCCATGAAAGCTTCTAGAAACCTGGTTAGAAATAACGAGGCCTATCCTGGGATTTTTAACCCCCTCCCACATCTAAAAAAACCCTAGAGTTTTAATTTTCCTTTCCAGTGACAGACAAAGCGGGGGTTGGTGCCAGCAAACCAGCATCCCTAGCGTCTACCAGCCCGTTCCCCGCCGCGAAATCCTCCCAGAAATCGCACCCTGCGGTCTGGGATCCCAAACTAAACGGGAAGCGCCCCCCCCTGCGCCCCCACCGCACACCTTGCTGCCTGAGCGCACAAATGCGCCCCGCGCTGCGGAAGTTCCCCAGGGCAGCGCGCGCCCGCGCTCTTTTCCATTTCAAAGCAGCGGGCGCGGTGGGGGGGGGCGGCCTGGCCACCCCTCGGGGGTCTCGGGGACACCTTCCCACCCGAAAAGCCTCCACAAGGCACCTGCCAGCGAAAAGGGGGGACACTAACGCGCTCCCTGCCAGCGCGCTCGGCGACGCTCCGTTGTCGCCTCCGCCTCATCCTTGTCGCTAAAGAGGAGGCCCCCCTGGGCGGCGGGTCGGGCGGCCCCGCGCCGCGCAGGTAGCGCGGGGACGATACTCACCTCGGCCAAGGGGCTGCGGGGCTCGCAACGCTGCCCGCGGCGCCGGGCGCGCCCTCCGCGGGTCGCTTTGCAGGCGGCACCGCTCCGAAACCACCTAAAACCCGAGGCGCGCACCCCCCGCCCCGGCCTCCCCACCCAAATCGAGGCTGGGCTATTCCCGGCTCTCTCTCCCGGGTTCCTTTTCAGCGACATTATTCCACCATAACATGAATTTCTTCCCCCCCCCCCCCATTTTTCACCCCTCTGGCCTGTTTGGTGCCCCCTCCCCCAGTATAAACCACCATTGTCTTCCGCGGAGAGCGGAACTGCCGCGGGCCGAGCGACTGCCCCCTGCGCGCCGCGAACCCCCCAACTTTGGGGATGAATCGCGCAGTTTGTCAGGCTTTGTTAAAGAGCGAGGCGTGTCCGCGGCCGCGAGCCGCGCTGACCCGCGCTTCACCCCGCGCCGCTCCGCGCCCCCGCGCGTTACCAGCCGCGCCACGCGCAGCCGCGTCTGCCCGTCCCAGCGCGTTCCCCGCCTCTAGCTCCCGGATACAGAGATATCTTTATATATACACATATATATTAATATATCGTTATATATATTTTAAATGTTTTAATATATTTCATGTGCTTTTTTCATGTATTKTTTTTCTGGGTGAATCTCCTCCGGTGAGGGGGCGATTCGCTGCTTGTGCAGACCGCCACACTGGCAGCAAGGAGCGGGGCGATGTCCCCTTCCCCCCAGCGCACCCACCGGGTTGCGCTTCTACTCCGAAGCCACTGGGCAGCGGGGCGCGGAGAGGCGCGGAGCGGGATGCGGAGAGCCCCGGCCCACACCTGCCTAGTGACAGGACAGCTTGCCCCCCGTTCCCCCCTGCGGGTTTCTAGGCAGAATAGGTGGCAGCCGCTCACATTTGCCAGGTCGAAGCGCAACRTATTTTAGTTCTGCTGAGGTTTTAAGCGAGGGCGCGGAAAGTGTCCAGTGCGCGGAGCCAACGCGGTGAAAGGGAGGTCACTGGCCACGTAAATGAGGATTAAAAAATCGTGGATTGTCCAGTGAGGAAAGGAAATGCAAGGAAAACCCATCCCGGTATCAGGATATCCGCGCCTGGCCGGGACTGAGAGACCTGAGGGCCAAGCCCGAAGTAGTTGAGATAAATTAGAAATATCCCTGAAAATTATCCCTTTAATTTCCTCCTTCCCTCCCTCGCTCTCTTCCCCCCCCTCTACCGCTTCAAATGAATCTACTTCAAATGTACATGCAGAATCGTAGTCCTAAATTGAAACTTAAACGTTATGATGTAGGAGTGAATATTACAGGGAAAGTTGGGAGGTGGGTTTTTTATTGCCGTGAAATTATACCTGCTTGTTTTAATATCCCGAAAACAAATGGTCTTTATTATCCATTACCTGTTCTATAAACCTGGAGTAGAAATGACTGTTCTATAGAGATAAGTATAGTAATTACAAGGGCGAAGAGATGGATCATCCAAGTTACAACTAAACGGTAGTCCTTATATAGTGATATTTTATAAATACCAAGCAAATTCATGGCAATTAATTAAACCCGAGCCTTATCACGCGAAACAAAACGCTATTCGTTCTCTTGAATTTCACCTACTCTATGAATATATCCACATCGGGA